ATACTGCAGTGATATTAAAATGCATAGGTACATCAATATTACATTTTCTGAAAGCGGAGGCCCTGTTGAGTAAAAAGACTGTGGTTGCAATTTTTTTGTTTTACAAAAGCGTTTATCAAATCTCTGTTTTCAGTACAAAATGCAAAACAAATGCCAAGAGCCAAGCGGGGAGAGAAGACAGAAAAAAGTCAGCTGCCTCCATGGGTAAGCGAACTTTCGCTGACCCACAGATGAGCGCCCCCCCTTCAAGTGGTGCCCAGTGTAGCTACAAACAATTACGCCTATGGCATCCCCCACCCAGCTCCTTGATGTAAAAAAAAGTCAGGGGCCCCCGGGTGTCTGCATTAGCTGTTCACATGTAGCTATGACATGATCTACAAGGTCCCTCCCGGCTTGTGCAGACTTGTGAGCGGGAGTTATGAGGCCTGGTTCACACCTGGGCATTTTACAGCGCTGATCGAAGCGCTGTAAAACGCCCAGCAAGTGAAATCCCATTATTTCCTGTGGGCACTGTTCCCACCTGGGCGTATTTCAGCACGTCGGAACGTGCTGAAAAACGCCCTACGCCCAGAGAAGTACAGGAGCTTTTTTGTGGCATATTTCCGTGCGTATCCATTAGGATACAGCCGGATAGCCCTCGTAAATTCGCGTTTGACGTGCGTTTCGTGGGCCGCAAATTGCAGTAAAAACGCGCGGCCCGAAACGCGCGTCATACGCGCAACTTACGAACACCCAGGTGTGAACCCAGCCTGAGGGTGATGGGGATGCCGCCTTGTTCCTGCAGTGCAAACTTGTAAGATATTTCTGCCGGTAAGCCAGTTAGTACCTGGGGTGATGTAGATAGAAGTTACCATTTACTTTATTTTGGGGAGCAATCAGAGGAGGGTGTCTACGTTCCCACATACAGTAAGACCATGAAGAGTGAACCCAGCCATCCTCATAAAGAATTTTGGTGAAGGGGAAACATGAAAACTCGAGTGTATACAGGATGTGCTTTGCAATGCAGACAGACCCGGAGAGACTGAACGGAGGGGCTACATGACTGGGGGGAGGAATAGTCCCGGGAGAAATAGTTAAAAGAAAATGGGAATAGCTGCTCTTACCTGAATGGACGTGGGAGTCAGGTGTCCGGGAGGAGCCGCATGGGAAGGAACTGCGAGGGCTGAGGGACGTCCTCTTTCTGGAAATCGACGAAGGAAGCAGGTTGTCCCACCCTCCCTCCCTTAATGTTGTGATTATGGGGGTTTTCGGGGGTACTTTTGTCACGGCAGCTTGGCGGGTTAGGGGGTCTTTGGGGGGTCTACAAAATAGGAGTTGATTACAAAAATGGGGGGCCCTCAGCTGGTATGGGTGCCTCCCCCTGTTGGTGTCCGGATTTGTTGGTGTCCGGATAAGTGTCCTCGAGCTGGTTGTGGTGCGGCTGGGGACATGGGTGGAGTGGTAGGAGAGGCCTTTTTGGGCTGTTGGGCACCCAAAGACCCCTTTTCAGGTCAACCATCATTTACAGTATTATTTGTATATATTATTTGGTTTATTACTTTTGGTTATTGTTAAAGTTGTTTGGTTTAATAAAAGGGCTGCTGTGGCCATTAAAATCCATGTCACGCAGTACGAGTGTTTATTGGGGTTTTGAACGAAGGGACAAAAATTGACGAATCCATCAGTCATGTCATTACACGGCACACAGCTATCTAATAATGACGGTATCAGATTTTTTTTAAAATGTATTTTGTATTTAGTAACAATGTAACCACTTCAGTACCATATGACGTACCTGTACATCCTGGTCTTGAAGTGCTTGTACTAAGATCATGGCTCCTCTAGGGGGCTAGGGACCATGTCAAACTGTGTCAGAATAGAGAGCTGTGATCAATAAAGCAGGGAACGCTGCCTACTCCAGAGCTATGAGAAGCTGGCTGAAGTGCCGGTGACACAGGCAATTAGGCACATTCTTGTACTGGAAGGCAGGAGAGACATCAGAAGTCTAACAGACCCCTGATGTCTCCATAAATTTAACCTGTCACCTCCAAATGCATCACATAGAGGCTTGTTAGCTCCTTTGTGATAGCAATCAAAATAAGTGAAGAAAAAATAAAATATAATACTAATAATAATACTAAAACTAAATAAAAAATTTTTTAATTAAGCCTGTTGCCCCCACCATCTGCATGCGAAAAAACATGTGTAGGGCTTGCACTTGTATTTCAGCACACATGTTGGCTATTGCCGCAAACGTCCGAGTGAGAAGCATAATTCTAGGACCATAATTAGCTGTTAATTCTAAACTGTTCAGCAGTTAAGGCTTTTAGCGCCGGTTCACACCAACTCCAGTGCGTTCCAGCACAGTTAATGGCCGGAACGCACTGGATCACATAGTTAAAGTCTCCTGTGTTCTGGGACAAGAGGGGGTGTGGGGGTGCCATTCATGTCAAAGGTACGCAGCCACATCTCCCACCCGCAGTGCGATCGCCCGCACCAGAACGTGTGGTACAGCAGTGCCAGCGGCCTGTTCCGGTGCATTGTCATTGCAAAAAATAGTGCATCGCAATGTGGACGGGAGGCGTGGCAGCGTGCCATTGACATGAATACTATTCAACTTGCTTGTCGCACTCCTTACCGAATGTCCCGTGTAATGGGGAGGTGCCCGCAGTGACTGTGGATGGCGCCACCAGTATCAGCAAACATGTATAGGATTTTTGGTGTGCTGGTGACATCTATACATGTCCATTAGATTGTAAGCCCTCAGGGGCAAGGCCCTCCTTACCATCTTGTCTAGAATTGTATTGTGATTGTAATCTCTTCCTTATCTTGCAAAGCGCTGCGCAAACTGTTGGCGCTATATAAATCCTGTATAATAATAATAATAATTGACGTGAATGGCACCACCAAACCTCCAACCAACCCCAGAATGCAAGAGGCTTTAATTATGAGATCCACTGCATTCCAGCCACTAACCGTGCTGGAGCGCACTGGATGTGAACTGGACCTTAAAGCGTCGCTTAAGGACAAATTTTGAGTACCATAGTTTTTCACCATTGCACGCAATTTTAACGCGGGACATGTTTGGTAACTATTTTCTCAACGTTTTTTACCCAAAAATATGATATCGCATTGTGTGTGTGTGCACTAGAACCCATTTTAGTGGGTTTTTTTCTAAAAATATCGATTTGATAAATGCAGCTATCATTTTTTTATTCTACAGAATACAGCGCCCCATTCCCACCTGCAATGGGCGTAAACGTGTGTAGTGTTCTTGGGTTACTTTTTATACGCTGGGCGCTCATTCACATAGATCAGCTCATTCATTTCAGTGGGCTGCTGTACGCGCGCAAAAGAAGCCCATTCAGTTGTTTAAGCGGCAAACTTTCTGTGGTTTTTGACCGGGGTGCTGTTAATAATGGACGGCTCACCAAGTGGGACACACTTTTTTTGTACGTTTCGTGAACATGCACAGCAAGTGTGAATGAGGTCAAAGTTTATTGCAGTGTGACGGAGGTGTATCAAAGAGAACACAGCAGAAATAACGGCAATCCCTCCCAGAAGCACCCGTGAAATATGGCTGTTTTACATCTTTATACAATCCACATAAACAGAGCAGCTTTCCTGAATATTATGGTATGTCTGCACAGTGCCGAGGCTTGCTTTACTCCCACACCACAAGCCACACACTGTGAAGCCACACCCACCATCAGGCCACACCTCTAGGTGCTCAGTGAGTGGTGCACTGTGTGCATACCTTCAAGGTGTTCTTCCTAACCATGCATATCATGGTGCCTCCTATTTGTCTCTGTGTCTTGAACGTCTGCCCCTTATTCCAAAAGTCTACGACCAATTGTTTGAGGGCATGGTTGAAAAGGGGGTTTTTTTGTGTGAGTGTGGCTACAAAAGTGGGGTTTGTGGGTGTCGTTAAAGATCACCATGGCCAGTAGAGTGTCCCTGAATTTCATTTTGAAAATCTGGTCACCTGAGCCCCCTATCAAACCTCAGCATTTTGTTGCACGTTTTCCAAAGCACGATAATGCTCAACATTATGGATGTGAACTAAGCTTGCTGTCAGTGACACCCCTCCCCCATTTGGCCCACTCAGCTGCGGCCAGGGCATTCCCCGGCCCTTTGTGATATGTATATGCAGGAACCGCCTATGCCATAGCTGATTTGGCCAGGAGGGTGATGCGTCCGCTTCAGTTTTGTACTGGCTTGGTGAACTGGGTTTGCACTGAATCCCCACACATCTTTACCAGCTTTCCACTGGCTAAAACAAAAACGCTCAGGCCTGAAAAAATCATGCAAAAGCCTCAAAAACGTCTGAAAACCCACAGGCCTGGTTCACAGCTGAGCGTTTATTGCGCGTTTCCGCACGTATAGATGTGATCAGATCCGTGCAAAACACAGTCAATGCATTCTAATGTGACATTCACACCTGAGCGTTCGTACGTGTGGACAAAATCGTGCAAAGCGAGACAATGTACATGCGCAATTTTCTGAGCAGTTGTCCTGCATTCTAATTGTGGTTGTCGCGGTTAACGTGCTGAATTGCACATGGCACGCTCAGGTGTAAAGGGAGCCTACGACTCATAAGGCACAGACATTTCTAACAATATGAGCCCAATATCTAGCAGTAACATTACTGGTCAGCAACTTGATTACCAGAACCCACCCCACTGTACCCCCAGTCCAGCTTTATTATGAGGGTGTGTTTTCTCTGTGCAGTCCTAATATAGGAGGTGACAACACAACACTCAGCCTCACTCCCCATCACCCCGATCACGGCGCCGGCTCCTCCCACTCATTCTGCGCCACATCAGCCACTTGGGAGACGACAGGAGGATCAAAACAAACACACGTGGTCTGAGTCACCTGACCATAACTCTCCGCCAATCAGCTCTTAGTTTCCGAGCATTAGCGGGCGAGCGGGACGCGTCACCAGCTGCCAACCAATGGGCGAGAATATGTGCGGGGATAGCGGCGCTATTGGCATATCATGTGACAGTGCTGGAGACTTCCGTCAACAAGAGCGGCTGGGTGTTTCTATGTGCTGAGGAGAGCAGGAGGGAGAAAAGGGTAAGGGGGTCACCGGGTGTACGGAAGAGAGGAGGGGGCAGGGTATTGATAAGGGGGTCACCAGGTGTACGAAAGAGAGGAGGGGGCAGGATACTGGTAAGGGGGTCACTGAGTGCGGGTGCCATGGTTGTACTGGGAGGACGGTAAAAAAATACTGTGGGGGGCCCTCTCCTGCCCTGAGCCGGTTTGTTCCGGCCAGTGATTGGGAAGTTGAGGGGAATTTATCAAAACTAGAGCAGCCAGAATCTGGAGCAGTTGCCCATGGCAACCAATCAGCTTCTCTCTTTAGTTGAATTAAGCTTTGAATATTAAAGGGAGAAGCTGATTGGTTGCCGTGCACACCTGCTTCAGATTCTGGCTGCTCCAGGTTTCCCCTTATAGAGTGGTAATCCTCCATTTCTAAACAGATTGTTAGCAGGCTGAGTCTCCGAATACTAACATCCCCATAGGACTCTGTGGTTGGGGTGCTGGGTTCCTCCCAGTGGCGCTGCGTTTTTCCCGGTGGAGCTGGTATGAAAGGTTCACCGCTACGTATATAAAACTTGTATGTTTTTCATCTTAGGGTAGTGAAGGGTTAAAACCCCCTGACTGTTTTGTTTCCCCCGTGTCCCATTAGGAAGTTTTCCCTTCATTTCCTGTCCTGTAGACACAGCAACAAGTAAGAGGAAATCTCCACAAAGTGAGGGGAATGCACTCTTAAAGGATTACTAAAGGCTGGGTGTTTTTTACCTCAATACATTCTAAAGCTCTATCTTTCCCCCAAAAAATGGTATAAAATTCATTTCAGTACAGCGCTGCATGACGGAATAAATGTCAGTCAAAGTACCGCAGCGCTGAATACTGAAAAATGGCCTGGATGGGAAGGGGGTTTAACACCGCGGACATCAAGTGGTTAAGGTAAAAACTGCCCAGTACCTTTCACAGCTTACTGCAGAACGCCAGGGAAAATGTTCTTAACACTTGCAGTGGTGCCACCCCCCACACTGCAGGGATTAAAGCCCATTCCCAGCTTTGTAACTGCTCAGCATGTATTGTGGTAATGTAGAGGTGCAGTGATGATGTATTTGTGTGCACATTTTCATGACTCGCATTGCTGGCTTTTTTAAAAAAAAAAAAAAATTTTATGAACTTTTTAGCGGGACGGAGTCCTACAAATTGAAAATCCCCTCCACAGGAAACTCGGTCTGACACCAGGGTCAGATTGTACAGCAGATGACCTCCTCCCTGTGCGTCATTGTAACTAGATCACTGCACACCAGCTCTGCCTTTCACTTGCCACTATGAATACTAATGATGGGGGCGGGGAGGAGAGATAATTAAATTTACACAGACTGCTTGCAGAGCACAGAGGCGGTCATTTCAAAAGGAGCCATGAAGAGATGAAGAGGACAAACAAAAAAGTAGGTTTCTGCAGCAACTGCATATGCCTGCTTCATGTTCACTCTGTGTACATTGCTGGCATATGTTTTTTGTAAACAATAAATCCACAAAGGTGGAAATGGGCTCGTTTTTGCCTAGGTGTTAAAAAAAAGTTATATTCACCGAACCGCGGAGCCAGCTGGCTGCTACTTCATTCCCTGAAGCCTGTCTCCTCTACTGCAGCAATGGTATGCCCCTTGGCATCCTCACATCCTATAATATCTCCTCTAATAATAATAATTTACACTGCATATTGAAGATGATTACTAAAGTATCGTTAGACCGCTGCAGCGCGGGGAGAGAGAGGCTCCAGGGACCGATGTAAGAGCAAGCCAGCACAGAGGATCGTATATATATAACCTTTTTAAAAAAAAATGTCAGCACCTAGACATAAATGAGCAGTTGCGGGGGGTAGGAGGGGTAGCCCCAATCCAAGGGTTATGAACACGTTTGCCTTCTTTAATACATAGTAGGGCTGCAGCTAATGATTATTTTCAAAATCGATTAGTTAGCTGATTATTAGGTTTGATTAATTGGTTAATCGGATAAAAAAAGGCTCCAGTAATGGACTACTAGTTTGTATTGAGATTGTAGTCCATCATGTGAGCAGGCTTGGAGCGGTGGAAGTAAAAAAAAAATATATTGGTGTGCAATATAGTACATTATACAGCGGCGCAATGCAGAATACCAGCAGCTATAGAGGAATACAGCAAATCGCAGCAATAGTACATTATACTATAGCTGGGATTTGTAGTCCTCTGTAGCTGCTGGTATTCTGCATTGCGCTGTATACAATGTATTATTGCTGGGATTAGTAGTCCTCTATAGCTGGTGTTATTGGAGAGGACGGGTATGATGGTGGAATAGTGTGCAGAGGACGGGTATGATGGTGGAATGGAGTGCAGGGAAGGAGAGGACGGGTATGATGGTGGAATGGAGTGCAGGGAAGGAGAGGACGGGTATGATGGTGGAATGGAGTGCAGGGAAGGAGAGGACGGGTATGATGGTGGAATGGGTTGCAGAGGACTGGTATGATTGGGGTGCACGGTGTTGGGTTCCAGGGTGCTTGGGGCACTCACTGTCTGAACATTCCTTCCATGTCTTTGATCTGCTGAACTCCTTGAACTTGGTGTAGGGATTGAAGACTCTCATGCTGGGCTGCTCCCTCTCCCCGTCCTCCGAGTCCCCCATCTGCAGTCGCCGGTTCAGCCTGGATGCCAGCTCGTCCCCAGCCATCGTCTCCGTCCCCCGGCTGACACCTGTCGCGCTCACATCCCCGGCATCTGTCATGTGACCGCACTGGCCTGGCTAGATGTAAGGAGCGCCGGGATTGGAGGAGACCCGGGGGCTGGACTGCGGCGTGGGCGACTGGTGTATGGAGCGGAGAACAGGCAATTTAATAGATAGCCAACTAATCGACGATGGAAAACGTTGACAACGTTTTCCATCGTCGATTTTTATTTGGCTCAATCGAATAGTTGTTGCAGCTCTAATATATACAGTAGCTTGAACTGCTTGGTTTATGGTCCAGGAAAGGATGTGTCAGGGGTGCAGAGGGGAAGATTCCATTTCAGGGTCCCACAATATTTGCTGTATGGATAATTGGGCACATCCACATTGGCGCAATGCTGAGTTTTCAATGGCCGGTGAGTTTTATTACATAAAGACTTTCCATCATTATCTGTGTTTTGTTAATCAGTAACTGGTAAGAGAGGATTTTATTATGTAATGAAGGATATAGGCTAGAGCTGCAGCTAATGATTATTTTCAAAATCGATTAGTTAGCCGATTATTAAGTTCGATTAATCGGTTAATCGGATAAAAAATAAAATACATTTTAAAATATGGCTCCAGTGAAGGGACTTCTAGTTTGTATTGAGATTGCTGTCCATCACGGGAGCAAGTTTGGAGCGGTGGAAGTAAAAAATAAAAAAAAAGTGTGGTGGACAATATAGTGAAATGAAAAGTGTAAAATTATACAGCAATGAATGCAGAATGGCACCGGCTAATGAGGACTACAAAACCCATGCCTGTCTATCGGCGGCTGTCATCCGCCCACATCTGCTCCTCTGGCAGCGGCGAGCGTGAGTTGGGGAGGAGGCGTGGCGCGCAGCGTGTGTGGAGCCGTGAACAAAGCCAACCAATCAGAAGCCGATTAATCGATGATTGAAAAAGTTGACAACTTTTTCAATAATCGATTATAATCGATTATGTCGATTAGTTGTTGCAGCCCTAATATAGGCACAGTAATTAGCGGAGGGCAGTGAGTCCAGGTGCAGATCTCCACGCATCAATTTAGCCACATTTAACCCCCGCAGAGATTTCCTCCCTCTGTATTGCGGTAAGATTGTCTCTTTATTCGCTATATTTGTACACATGGCAAAGAGGACCTTTTAAAAGAGAAGTAAAGCCAATTCCTTTTTATGTTTTCTTTGCTTTGCTTCTTGGTCACAGGAGTAGATCTACTAATGCATTCCTGTGATCCAAATCATCAGATGTGTGCAGACCCGGGCTGCAGCCGGGAATGATCCTGATAATATTGTTAGGATCCACTCGGCTGCCTGATTGACAAATGGATCTGCCTGCCTATAGCCAGAGCCAGCTGTGCCCGCCTCCTCCCCTGTCTGTCCCTTCAATGAGCACTGGAGGAACAAAGAGAGGGGAGGGGGGAATCCCTGCAGGGAAGAGACCATCAACTGAGTGATCAGCAGTTCATGATCACTCAGCTCTCAGTGTATAGAATCGGCATGTGACTTCTGCAGCAGGGGGAGTATATTTGACCCTCCTTGTGCTTCTCCTTTAATGGCATGTAGGATTTTGTCGTCTACTTTGTGGTAGCAGCGCATCGTTAGGTTCATGAGCATTGTGGCTCATTCACACAGGCTTAAAAAAAAAGCTACGTACAGATGCATGCTGTGCTTATTTCTGTGTGCATCTGTACGTAGCACATGGAAATATACGACCCCATACACACAGCTGCATGTAGTGCCGTGTTTTTGCGTTGTGTACAGATGCGCACCCCAAAAAATTGAACAGGGTTACGTTTGGGGCCATAAATCGTATGTATTTTTTGCATATACGCAGGTAAAAACACGCTTGTATGTGCGTACACGCACATAGAATATTATGTTCCTAATGCTAAAAATAAAAAAAGAATTTGTATGTTGAAGAACGCATATGGGTCAGATGTTCGTGTTCATACGTGCCAAAACACATCTACAAAGATGCACATTTTACGCATGTTGCTGCACTTGGGTTCCTTCTATGTCCGTGTCAATGAGGCCCTAAACCCATCCAGTATTGCTGTTATTAAATATTAACAGTACAGTCATAGTTCCCTAGTTATTTATTAACAAAGATAGATATGTCTGGATGGTTTGACTAAAGGGACACGCCTTTGCCTCAGATTCATCAAGCAGAGTGACCGGTTACATGTAAGTGGAAGCTTTTACTAGGAGAAGGACAGACGTCAACATTTCATTTCTGACTGTGCCACGTCCTGTCCTGGTAACCATTGGGACAAAAAGTTAGCAAATATCCCTATTAATAGGAAGGCAAAAGGGAAAAAACTTTATTTTTCAGTCCAGGAAACAAAGCTTTTTTTTTTTTTTTTTAATTATATGTGTCCCCAGGGCAGGAAGTGGGGAAATCTTCCAAACAGGAAATTCATTAAAATGAATGTGCTGCCAATGCACCAGAACAGAATTTTTTTTTAAAGGCAGCATTTTTTTTTCAGACACCCCACAATGCCCGGTAGTGCCATTATGGGTGAAAGGAACCACCGATGTGCTGAAGCATGTTAGATGGTTTAATGTGCACTGCGACAATGTGTATGTTAGTGATATGCACCTGGACTGCTAGGTGTGCATGGGCCCTGAATGTAGGGGGTTATTGTATCTTAGCTAGTTGCAGCCATCCGACCTGTACAAAGCAAAGACAGACTGACAGGAGCCGCAGCTGTCCGCCGCTATTCACATGCATCTGCAACCCCATAAGTTACCTACGGCTAAGGACAGATGTCTGACCTGGGATGCAGACAGATTGCCTCTCCAGGGCTGGTCAGTTATCCCTAGCTGCAGGTGACTCCTGAATGTGTGGATACGTGTGAATAGAGTCACAGGACTGCAGCTCCTGTCAGCCTTTTCATTCCTTTGCTCAGGTTGAGTGGCCGCAGATGTGTGGAACCACCTGTGATCCCAGCCGCAAGAATCAGCTGTCGGCCCTAAATCACCAATGTGAATGAGGCCTATAAGTAATCTGAATGTCTAGAGCCCCAATGAAGTGGCCACAAATAACAAAAAAAGACTTTCTGTTCTTTCTGTTATATTGTTATTACCTACTTAGTTTTGTAAACTGAAACGTATGGAAATATTAGCCATGTTATTTATGTAAGTTAAAGGGCTCGAGGTTATTTCTGCTCGGCAATAGAGACTGCTGAACTGAAACTTCCTCCCGTTGTGACGCCACCGGTCTTCCTCCCGTTGTGACGCCACCGGTCTTCCTCCCGTTGTGACGCCACCGGTCTTCCTCCCGTTGTGACGCCACCGGTCTTCCTCCCGTTGTGACGCCACCGGTCTTCCTCCCGTTGTGACGCCACCGGTCTTCCTCCTGTTGTGACGCCACCGGTCTTCCTCCCGTTGTGGCGCCACCGGTCTTCCTCCCGTTGTGGCGCCACCGGTTTACCTTCCAGTATAAAGTCTCACTCAGTACAACATGAGACAAGAAAGCAGAGTAATTAGGGTGAGAATACTATATATAGCAGCTCCGTAGTACAACCTACACAAGTACAAGGATGGTGTGTTTATTGGATTTTTTGTTTATTTTTATTTGTTGCGGTTGTCATGTTGGTGTACTTGTTAACAACCCCTTATGACATGACTGTGCTTGAGAAGAATGTAAGATTCATCTATTGCTCTGATCAGCAGGACAGCCATGCCATTTTTGGGTCAAGACTGGCGTTCTCCAGGCTGGACCTGGATAAAAACTGAAGATGGGTGGAAAAGATGGGAATTTTGTGACGGTGACCCTGAAGAAAACAACAACATTAATCTTCAGCTGTAAGTACACCAACATTCATTTTGTATTATTCTATAATATTAAAGCGAACCTCCTAGCAAACGGCTAAATACACAGTTGAAATACAATTTTGCTTGCTGTCTGCGGTCATTGACTACTTTACTAAGCCGTTCATCTTCCTTGTCCAGCAATGTGCTTTTGTCAAAATGTCAAAGTTTTCCTGCAGCCTTCTCATTGGACAGTGGAGGAGGGAAGGGAAGTATAAGTGATCTGATCAGACCACTTGTATCAATTTGAGCATCGGCGATCGTTTCTGCCCGCACCCTCCGCCGTAGTTTTCGGGGTCCCCCGCTCTCCTGGGGCACCCCGAATGCTACGGCACAACAGCTCAGCCATTGAGCCAGTAGAGCAGACGAAGAACGTCTGCTCTACAGGCTCTCTGTGTGTTCTCTGAGACCGTGGCGCTGTAATCGCAGCACCACCTGTCTCGGCTGTCAGGAACTACACAGAACAGCTGTTCTATGTTGGAGGGCAGGTTCCATAAAGAGAGCCTGTCACCTCCAAACTATCACATAAGGGATTTTAATCCCCTATCTGATAGGAAGAACATTAGATGGAAATAGTACATAAATACAAATTTTAAGAAAATTTAAAAAGTTAAAAAATAATAAAATATATAAAGATTTTAAAAATGAAACCCTGCTGCCCCCGCCATCTGCATGCAAATAAACGCATGCGTAGGACATTCTGCATGTGCTTTGAGATTGCAGCACCATTCCATGGTGGTAGCCAGAATTCTCTTACACACACACACAATGTGCATTAAAGGGTAAGTTCATTTTCCCAGGTAATATGGAACAAATTAAAATTACCCGATGAAATCTGGCCCCGTCTCTCCCAAACCGCCACCCCCCTGGCTATACTTACCTTTCGGCGAACAATGCCTCCCCTCCGCCAGTATGGGTGTACTATCTGTCCCCCGTACTGCTGTCCAGCGCAGTCCTCCCTAAACATTTTGAATTTCGCTCGCAAATTGCAAGCACTCATTGGTCAGCGTGGTCAGATGACTGCGCTGACCTGTGACAAGCGCTATTTAGCAAGTCAAATATGTTTTGATTAGGGGTGCACCGATACTAGTATCAGTGCCAATACAGAGTATTTGGGCGAGTACTCGTACTCACCCAAATGCTCCAATACCTTCCCTGATATTGGAACTTACGGCCAGATGAACATTTCCTGACTGGCAGTCCCGTAGGGGAACATGGAGCCAGCTTCCCGTGCAATCAGGAAGCTGTGTGGCACGTAATGACACGCCTCCTGGTTTTCTGATTGGCCAATCACAATCAAGCAGGCCAAACAACATGGAGCTGGCTTCCGTGGCAATCGGAAACCTGGGCGGGATGTCATTACCTGCTGCCCGGCTTCCTGATTGCCAGCGGAAGCACCGGTATTAGTATTCAGTGTCGGCGAGATCCGAAAGCAAAAAATCTGTACTCTATACCGAAAAACCGGCATTGGTGTGTCCCTAGTTTTGATTAAAACTATTTTTTTTGTATTGGGACAAGTAGATTGTCATGAAGGACAAGTAGATTTGTCCCCGCTTTAGCCCTTGGACAAGTAGTTTTAAAAAAAAAAAATTTCCACACCCCTGCATTGTAAGTGATTCCATCAGCATTTGTTATGGCTTAAAAACATTTTGACTTTAATATCACTTTGATATCACAACTCTAGGCAGAATAGAAATGAACCCTTGCAGTGGGGCTACTAACCCTGCTCTGCAAGGGGTAAGTGCTCATTTTGGTCTAGAGTGTAAAACAAACAAGATACACTCGCCCAATCCTCGCCCCGCTTGCCTGCTAGACAGCCTCTTCTTCCCCAGGCCCTGGCAGTCTAAGGACCCATGATGCCTTCACGTCCATTACAGGTATATTGTACGTGAATACTCCAACTGACATTCCACAGCTGGAGCAGAGGGTGAGGGAGGTGAGATGTCACTGACGTGGAATTAAGGGTCGGATGAGTGATCTCTCCTCTTTTTCTCTCTCCTCTTTTTCTCTCTCCTCCTTTTTCTCTCTCCTCCTTTTTCTCTCTCCTCCTTTTTCTCTCTCCTCCTTTTTCTCTCTCCTCCTTTTTCTCTCTCCTCCTTTTTCTCTCTCCTCTTTTTCTCTCTCCTCTTTTTCTCTCTCCTCTTTTTTCTCTCTCCTCTTTTTTCTCTCTCCTCTTTTTTCTCTCTCCTCTTTTTCTCTCTCCTCTTTTTTCTCTCTCCTCTTTTTTCTCTCTCTCCTCTTTTTCTCTCTCTCTCCTCTCTTTTTCTCTCTCTCTCCTCTTTTTTTCTCTCTCTCTCCTCTTTTTTTTCTCTCCTCTTTTTTTTGTTTATTGTACACACTAGACCAAATTGATCACCTAACTCTTGCATTACGGGGGTAGCCCCACTGCAAGGGTTAATTTTTTTAGTTTATTCTGCCCAGAGTTCTTTAATTGACTTCCTTGAATTAAAGTACGTTTGTGGAGTTATAATAGCGATGTTACTATATTACCTAATAGTACAAATAACATAACATATATATTTCAAAATGCTTGCAAAAGTAATTAATCTTATTCTTGATTCCAACCCCCCAGATTAAATCTAGAGGATCAAGAACCGTACACTCCTGAAGATTGTGCATTCTCCAACAACAAAACCGAAAAAGAGGAATTCAACAATGTTGCAAAATCACAGTGTAAGTGCATTGAGTGTCACAGTGTAAGTTCATTTGCACTGAAATCCAGGCAAACACCTAGGAGCTGTTTTAACTGCCATAGAATTTGTATTTTTGTTATCTGCATTATTCCTGATATTTAAAGTGACACTGACATAGGTGAGCCCCCAGTGTTTTTGTCCATTGCTATATATGACCCATAATTGGGAAACTAAGTGTAGCGTTAGAGGCCACACTTATTACAGGTGCCTTGACGGGGCAATGTGGCTTGCCCATATATTTGCAGATGCATGTAACTAAAACCTCTGTTTTTGACCTGAATAGTTAAAAGGATTAAAGTGACACTAAACTCAGGAGTTAATTCTTAAAAATGCATTCAAGTACCCTAACTATTAACAAAGATTTATCTTATTTGTGTATCACTCGGCTGTAGGTCCTCAAATCATCTCTGAATTGGTGCGGACACTGTCCTTCCTTTTGGAGGGTGGCTACTTTTGTTCCCCGTGGTCCCTGTGTGTGTTGGAAAGTAGTCACCGCTCCAAGCTCACTCCTGTGATGGACTACAATCTCACGTTTAGTTTACTAATTTGTATTGAGATTGTAGTCCATCACAGAAGTGAGCTTGGAGCGGTGACTACTTTACAACACACACACGGACCATGGGGAACAAAAGTAGCCGCCCTCCAGAAGGAAGGACAGTGTCAGCACCAATTGAGAGATGATTTGAGGATCTACAGCCGAGTGATACACAAATATGATACACTTTTGTTAATATTTAGGGTACTTGAATGTATTTTTAAGTTGTAACTTCTGAGTTTAGTGTCACTTTAAACATCTGCCTCTCCCAGCCCAGGTGGGTGGCTCCACTTACAGATAAGGAGTACAGGGATAGATGTAAACCAGCCTTATAGAAAATGATAGGATATTTTCTTGAAATGCACTTTTATGCACCAAAAAGGTTGAGTTTGGCTTCATGATACCAGGCATGTGTGTGAATAAGCCCTTGAGGGCAGTAGCTGACTGATGAGGTCATTCCCCTGCTCTCTCTCCTCCTATCTCCACATTTCTTGTTAACATATTTGCATTCAGCACACGTAAGTGGCCCCCAGTCTTGCCCAACCTTCTCCCAGTATAAGTATTGTTGTAAAACGGATTGCAAGTAGCTGATACCAAGTCTAATTCAGGTACTTACACTGGTCACACTTAAATATTCTCATCTTTCCTCACTCTATCCAAACACTGTGATCATCTGCTGCTAATCTTTGTGTAGAAAGCAGTATTGTGCCGTACCCAGTATTGTGCAGTAAAGGCAAGCACATGTCATTGGTGTTTAGAATGGGGACAGTGAAAAACTGATTGTTTATGTTCTTTTGCTCTAGATCAGGGGTAGGTGAACTCCAGCTGTGGTGAAACTACAAATCCCATCATGCCTCTGCCTCTGGGAGTCATGTTTGTGGCTGTCAGAGCCTTGCAATGCCCAGTTGGATTTGTAGTTGGGCGACAGCTGGAAGGCCAGGGTTTGCTTACCCCTGCTCTAGATTATATGTTAATCTATTCAAGGTTTTTGTGTTTTGTGGTTTTTGTGTCCTAGCATAATTTGTTTGTTTTTTTTCCATCAGATTTCTATCGTGATAAATGGATTTATGTCCAGAAGGGGAGTACACGAGAAGTAAGTATATTCGGCACCAGCCAAAAGAAATGTCTGTACAGATAAGGTGATCGGATGGCACCAAACATAACAATGTTTTATTATGGTGCCACTACTTACTTTTCTTTTTTCTGATGCAGTCTCTCAGTGGTGTCATCTTAGCATGTTTTGTGTTCTTCATACATGTGGAAATCCTCTCATTGTTGGCAAATTAGGAGACCTGGGCAGTTGTGAGTTATTGTGGTGATGCCACACCACGGGCACATTGCAAATAAGCTCCAGTTATTTGGTGTGCTGAAGTGGTGCAACAAGCCGAGATTATTCGCTGTATTGAAGTGTTCTTTCACAATATATATGATCTGGCTTGTACCATGCTGCTTACAAATGGTAGCACATTAAGGACACTTCACACATGGGCGTTTTGTAGCGCGTTCCTACGCTCTGCAAAACACTCAAACACCGAAATCCCATTATTTCCTATGGGTATGGTTCACACCTGGGCATATTACAGGTCGTATGAACGCGCTACAAAAACGCCCTACGCCCAAAGAAGTACAGGAGCTTCTTTGGGGCGTTTTTGTGGCACGTATCCATTGGGATAAAGCCAGGTAGCGGGTTTTTTTTACCGCGAATCGCGCGACAAACGTGCATATTCGATACACCTAGGTGTGAATCCAGCCTTCTTTTTATGATGTTCTTTGCCCACTTTTATTCAAACTCAACAAAAAGTCCACACCGGTTTTCCCCTCGCAGGGGTTTCCAAACAAAAGTACCCACAGTACTGGCAACGAAAACACAGATAAAGCTTCTTGGCTTTAACTTTCAGCGTTTTGCCTCTTTGACCCACTGGTCCTCTTTGTTTCCAAGGCTAGTCCCAACTGTTTCTCTCACAGTCGCACGGGCTGGTCCTCACCACAAAGGTGTGTTGCAACACAGGCTGGTTCCAGGAGCCCTGCAGACCCCTGCACAGAGACCTCCTCTATCTCCGAGGTGGAACCTTGAACCAGCATCCTTTTCCTAAGGGCTATGCACAATCGTTCGGTGGTGGTCACCACTAAAGCCCGGACGCAGGAATGGAGACTTCTTCCCTCCCAGTTCACTTGGAAATCTCCCGGCTACAGGATCCCAACTATAATCCAGAAAACCCAGAAAGAATTGTAAAGCCAGCTCTTCCCTGGTAAAAGTACTTTCCTGGAACCACTCAGCCCCTCTTGGTGGGAGTCCTGGGTGACTTTGATGCCACATTATACCGTGGTAGTGCCACACAGTGTAATTGAAAGCCGAACAGCACTAAGTCATATCAAGTTTAATTTCTCCATGCATTTCAAAAACAGTTCAAGCATGAAACATTTTCTGCTTGTTTTAAGAGACAGAAAACAAAGAGGGGTTAATCTGCCCTTCTCACTTCCCTACCTGCAGTACTTTTCATGTCCCTCAGGAAGGATGCAGAGGGGGTGCTCAAGGTTCTACAGCACCTCTTCTGCAACGCTAGGTTAACCCCCCATTTATATGCTCTGAATGTCTCATACATTCCATCTCTTTGGGTAAAGGCTTTTACCAGTTAGAGGCTTGCTGCATAAGGCAACAGTTAACTACTAAAAACGCTGATGTCCATCTTCCAGGCCCAATGTAAGTAGTCATTTAGAGGCGTGGTTCTCAACTCGTGAGTCGTGACCCAAAAGCGCGTTGTTCAGTGGGTCGTCACGTGCCTTCCACTGCTAGGTGAGAGGCTCCTCAGCCTCTCCTATTGCACCACTGTCAGTTCTCATGCTGAGCAGCCATTCAAAATATGTTGCACAGCGACGAGTATCGGCTTGAGGTCAGGTGGGCTGGGGGTATGGCCACGAGGGTGCTCCATCCATACGTGCATTGCTTACAGCTCCCCCACATGTCCTGTAGAGGTGCCTGGACCGGAGTGATGTCACATTCTGGCTTCCAGCACCTCCTACAGTGCGCGCAAGGGAGTTGTTCCAGCAATGCACATATGCATGGAGCTTTGTCACAGCACAGCAGCCCACACTGGACCCCAGCCTGAGGGTGCACTCCAGTTCTCGTAAAGTAGGGAGACTAGGTGGATCTGAAAATAAATAAATAAAATTTTTAGAAAAATGTTGAGTGTGTATGTATGTGAGTTTGTGGTTGTGAGTGTTTGTCAGGGTTTTTGGGGGCCCTTTCACACCAGCACAGTGTGTTAATCAAACAGTCCCATGCGATTAACGCACTGTACCATGGAATCGCACCTACCTCATGTTCTGGTGCAGGAGGTGCATTGTGTACCCCAAGTGCACCTCTCACCCACAGTTCGATCGCCCGTACCGGAACGTGCAGTACCACAATGGCAGGCGTTCTAGTGCGGTGCGACTTGGGTCGCGTCTTAATAACCAAGAATGAATGTGGGTCCTGAGGTTGCACAGGCTGAGAAGCACTGATTGAGAGTGACTGTGTACTAAATGTATGTCATAATTGTATTTCTTTTTTAAAGAATTTTAGTGAAGTCAGCCAAACTAAGGTGTTTTAAAAAGTGAAAAGCTTTCTCTTTTCCCCAAATAGTACAAAGGGAATAAAAAAATAGATTAGAACTAGAATCTTATTTTCCAACATTTAAGGGTAATCCAGGAAACATTAAAGTGACATTAAGCGCAGAAGTCCCCCCCACAGTGCTAAAGTAAGGACTTACCTTTAAATGATGCCTCTTAATCCGATCTTCTTCTTTCCTGTAGTTTTTAGCTGTCTCTCCTGTCCTTCCATCCCTAGATTGGTAGAGATGTGACATACTAGACTGTTTCTAAAGGCAACCATTCACTAAAGAAACAATAGGCTGTTCTACCTTTTACCAGGTTCAGTATGGGGGTGAACCACACATGTCAGGGCTACAATGGAACCATCAAAATTACGCTTGTTCATTCTTCCTGCATTTTTAAAGAAATCTGGGACTTGGAGAAAAGGGTTTAGAATGCCTTTTAAAACAAGCTATTTGGTTGGCAATTACCTTGTAACATCCATGGAACCCATGTGTAAAAAGCTCACCTGGTCCACTATACATTTGTCAGCTCCTATAGACTTCTGGGAGAATAGATCTTCAGGCCATAGTTCTTCCCTAAGGCACTATGTTTGATCCCATGGTTAAACAGATGAAATGGGATTGCTCTGTAAATGTTCTTGTGTGGCTACTCTTCTAACTTTGCATGTTAGTGTTGAGTAGATGGGAATCAGGATAACAAAAGCTTTCCATCCATGCAACGTTCGTGTCTGCACCACTATGCTAAGGGCATCTCTTTAGTGGATATCAACTGGACAATGCATCAATTCGCTTGTCTGTGCCCATGTGGGAGGGCGATGAATTTGAAATATTCATGTCAAATCACAATAAAATTAAAGTATTTTCTCAAACCATCCAGTAAGTTACCTTAACAGGCAAGTATACAAATCCACTCTTGATTTGCCCCAGTTGATTATGGACAGAAGAGATTGTCATTTGTTGCATATTACAACATTATAAAATCTGACTTATTTCCCCGATTCTGTAACAGAGACACGGCTATTGCACCTTGGGTGAAGCATTTAATCGTCTAGACTTTTCAAGTGCGATTCAGGATATCCGAAAATTTAATTATGTTGTCAGAGTAAGTATTTTATTTTTCTATATTCTATCCGTGAACGTTGCTGATGATTTATGTCACAAATAAACACGATAACATTTTGCTTTTACTTTCTTGTTTAGTTTTTTTTTTTTTTTATCTGGTAGAGGGGTGGGTTGCGTGTATTTCACTGTCGGGAAGGCTTGGACAGGGTGTTAGAAAAAAGGCTGTCGGTTTTTAAAGGCCAAATTCATTTTGTGCATGACCGGTCTGTGTCCCCGGGTTGTTATAGCAATCCAGGCCTCTTGAATTTTACCCTTCATCCCTCTCTGCTGTAGGCCTGTAAACTGTACATAATTGGTATGAGAACTGCTGCACATCTAGTGTGTATATCGCACAGTGTCGGGCCAGATTTTCAGCGGGCATCACACTGTCGTATACACTCTGGTCCTTTTGCGTTTGTAATTATTGCGCATGCCGTGTATACAGTAAATGCATGTGTAAGTGAAGCCAGGGGGCTTTAGTCATAGAGATCTTCCGCCGCTGGCAATGTCCATACACATTAACTTCAAATACCCTCTCCATTTACAAATCTGCATTGCAGCGTTAGTGCATGTTGCCAAAGGTGGTATATCTTCCTAATTCACATTCAAGTCAAACTGCGGTTGCATTCTAGTTAAGTTTCACTCCACAGGCCACCTTTTGAGAAAGTGGAGATTGTAAAATTAAATTCGGAACACTGCAGCAATGAGCAAGGGCCAGGTGCAATGCTTGCTTCATTGTATGAGCAACAGGAACACCACACATCGAGATGCAGAACTGTTTTTTCCTTCTCCATTAAAACGGCAAGCAGGAACAAATTCCATCGGAGGGAAAAAAAACATTTTCATTATACAAACAATTTAGGAAAGTTGCATGGCAAATACTTGAGAGTTTTAGAGAAAGCAAGAGAGAGGCTTGATAAATATTGTGAAGGAAGTAATGCTAGCAAGCTCCATTAATGTAAAGTTGGTTGTACGTGGAGATTTAATTTGTATTATCTTATAGGTTAGACTTGATAGACTAATGTCTTTATTCAACCTCAAATACTATATGTAACTATGTTATGTGGACAGCAAGCTGAGAAGGCCAGTACAGATTTGATGCATGTTGTGAAGCTATTTCTGGGGCAAGTCCCCAAGCCAACTTTGATCCAGATATGCTCCCACCAGCATGTTCTCCTCCCCAGGCAGGTTCACTTGGACCATCTTTTAGGGAGACTCTGAGACCTCAAAATAAGATGTCCAGTTTGCCTCTACAGGTACCTCCTTGATTTGAGGGTGTAGTGGTCTGAGGTTTTTTCTTTTGTCTCCATGTGTGGTTATCTAATATTCTGCACCATCTTATCGTGAAGCTTGCATTCCTAGTAGGGTCTCCCTTGGTGAACAAGTCTAATGGGATAGGACACGAAAAGACTGACTCAAAAAAATTAAGATCATGGCATATTTTAGCATGCAAGTGTAGTGTGTCTAGAAAAGTGTTTGCTGGGTACCCCAGTAGAGCCTGGACAGAGAGTGCTATTTGTAGACGAGCATAACCTGTTTGGGGTCCTTAAACTATGGTCTATACAAGATATTGATCGTTTCTTGCCCACTGGGTCATTTTATCATGATTGTAAATTTAGTGACCTGAAATAGTTTTTGTGTACATTTCTTAGACACTCTGTTACTTGCCAGAGCCGGTGAATGTGGCGTTACACTATACAGAATCAGAAGTGTTAGGTCTCCAAGCCCAACGGAGTGAACTCACCTTTTTTTATTTGACATTTTCTCTACAAATGGGTAAACCAATTGTGTTTATGGCTCCTAACCTTCTTCTCTTCGTCTACAGCTGCTCCAGCTGATTGCAAAGTCTCAGCTCACATCGCTGAGTGGTGCAGCACAGAAGAATTATTTCAATGTTTTGGAAAAAATTGTCAAAAAAGGTAATAAGCGCAATATAACGCTGTTATAGTAAAGTTAAAGTGCTGTGCTCGGATCCTGATGATTAAGTAAAAACAACTAGGGGTGCTGCCCCACTTCATGGATGTTTTGGAAGAAACAGCAGTTGAGACTGCAATCTGCCTGTGTGCCACTGTAGTTTCCGGGGTCAAGCCCCCTTCCTCAGAACGTTCTGAGGAAGGGGGCTTGACCCCGGAAACTACAGTGGCACACAGGCAGATTGCATTCTCAACTGCTGTTTCTTCCAAAACATCCACACAAGCTGTTTTATGACCCTCCATTGTGAGTACCATTGCAATTTTATCTTTGTGTCTTTTAAAATAAAAAATTATCTGCACTAGGTTGGGCGCCCTTCTGTCCTTTTTTGTATTACAATATAATGCTGTGATTATAGTATTTGGGAGCACTGGTGGTAAAGAAAATTGTTAACATGATTGACTTAATATTTAAACCTGTGGTTTTGTAAAAGCTGGTAAACTGTCCCCTGTGCAGTATGTACTTATCGTTTTGTTTATTTCCACACTTGTACTGACATGCCCCAACAACCTGCCCCCCAATGTAAATTCAGATCAAAGCTTGCATGTTGATGCACTGTCCTGTCTCCTGTACTGTATTGCCCAGGTCACATGTTAGCAGGCTATGTGAGTCTTAATGGTTCACAGCTGCGGATATAGCAGAGAGTGTGTATCTACATTAGTGGTAGTGTGGGAAATGTATTCCCCAAAGTCCAAGTAACACACAGTAATCAATAAAGGGAAACAAAAGTCTATAGCAACAATAACTTCTTCTAATTTGGATTCAGATATAGAACTTCACAGCATAGCAGTTAGTGATATTTGTAGAGCAAGTATAGAAAGGCATAAGAAGTGATACTTGCGTTTTAGAAGTCCCTTTTTGTGACGTTTTAAACTGGGGTTGTATTCCCCAGTCCTTGTGCGTCTGCCAACAATTTGGAGATGAGACGATATCAAGCTGGTTGTAATCCTGACTGTGGAGAATTCTCAGAGGTTGTAGGGGGAGTTGGTCTCCTTGGAACCGTGGATGTTTTAAAAGTAGCTAGCAGTCTATCAACACTCAGGAGTGGGAAATGTTCCACACAGACAAGGTCCTGCAAGTTCCGAGGCAGCAGTGAGTGAGCTTTTTCCCCCACTGAGGTATTGGTTTACAGCGATCTCCGAATTACCCGGCGTTGCTGTCATTACCCGAACGACGAACAATTGAATTTTGTGGCTTGGAGGAGCTGCATGACGTCGTTGGAGAGGAGGCATCGCCGAACGACGTACCCGGAACATAGGAGTGGTAAGTCTATTACATGTACTTTGCTATTGGCAAGTGAGGCCATCCATCATGTTTGGTCACCAATAGGAGATTTGGTGGACAGGGATGGAAAGTGCATGCTCTAGAGCAGGGGGTGGCAACCTCGGCACTCCAGCTGTCTTAAAACTACAAGTCCCATGAGGCATTGCAAGACTCTGACAGAGGCAGATGTATGATAGAATTTGTAGTTTCACCACAGCAGGAGTGCCTGGGTTGTCTAACCCTTGCTGCAGGTTCAGAGCTCCCAGGGCACTCAGAAAATAAAGTGAACACACATGCAGAACTCCTCCTAAGAGCCAGCCCACTGCTTGCATCATGGCTGAGAGGAGTAGAGAAACAGGGTGCTGTGATGTTTTCACGAAGCTATATAAAGCACCCTGCCAGCCCCTCCCACCAAACATGATCTGCCTACATTGCCCAGGGAATCACAGTTGCCAAGTAATGATGTCACTGGGTCTAAAATAAGTGATTTAATTGAAAGCGGTTAAATTAAAAGAGAAGTGCTGGGGCAGTGAAATATACTTCTCTCCATACTTGGAGCCAACGTGTGACACTGCACCTGTCACACGCTGGCTGTATAGATTGAGCTGAGCGATTGATTGTTCAGCTCACGGTCTCCTCCCTGCAGAGAGCAGTGACTGTCAATCAATGTTCCCTGCAGGGATTCCCCTCTCTGTTCCTCCAGCACTCACTGGAATGGAGAGGAAGGGGAGAGGGCGGGCACAGCTGGTTCAGGCAGCCGGCTGGACCCCAATATTGTTGGAATCCTTTCCGGCTGCAGCGTGACTCTGTGCTCCACCTATGTACTCCTGGGACCCAAAAGAGAAGTAAAGCCAAATGTAAGTACCATGTTATTAAAGGGGGACGGGAGGAAACCAGGAAAGGCAAAACGTAAGAAGATTAGACTTTTAGCTTTAAAAAGTTTGTTTCATTTGCTGATGCCGCATGTGGGTCAGAAGCTTTTAGACCTGGCGAGGAATAAAAACCTGCAAACTACACCCAACATAGAAATATAAGTTTGGGATTTCCATTAAAGCAGCTTGTTCGTTCATGATTCTAATACTTCAAAAACCATGCTTATCTGTCTGCAACCTTTCTACAATTCTTTCAGTGCTGGAAGATCAATACAATCCACGTTTAATACGAGAGCTCCTTCAGGACCTTAGCTCCACACTGTGCATGCTGCTGGAAAGATTTATATTGGTAGGAAATATCAACATCTGGATTTGTCGCTTAGAGGCTATCTTTTCCTGGCAGGAGCAACTGATGAATCTACAGATCAATCCGGTACGGCCGCGTTGCTGGGATTTCTCTATGGTGGGCGAATCTGTTCTAGATGTTTCTAATGACTTCCTGTTTTTGCTTCTTTCACCAGCAACTTGGCAACGGCCTTAACTTCTGTGATATGCCACTGCACATGCAAAGCAACATATTTCACAGGTTTTCGGATGCCTGGGACATCATTAACCTTGGCCAGCTGAATCGAACGTTGCATGTTCTAAGCGAAGACCGCCATCTCTGGAAAACGCTGTGCAAGTATCACTTTACTGAGAAAATGGTAAATGTTTTACTACAGAATACAAATATTAAGCTGGCCATACACTGGTAGATTTTCGTATGACATTCTTATAAAAAATCTTGTCAGACCATTCAGTAATTCCATCAGAGACTTGTAGAATATTGTTCAAAATTTTCATTTGATTTTGAGATTTGATTTTGGAATGAGTGAAGTTTTTTCAAATCCACATTGTGTTAGAATTCATTCAGTCGAGAAAAAATGTCCCATCCTGCTGCGATAGTCACTGCAGCTGAAAACAATCGTCGTTTTGGCACCATTAACTTTTAGAACTTCTAACAAATGTTGCAAATACAATTTTTTTTACAAAATTATATTAGTGTATGGGCAACTTTATCGCGTACAGCTCTAGCAATCGCTTTTAACCACTTTCTGTCCATATGCTCTAGCTCAACCTGTGGGTCGCGACCCCGTCGGGGGTCGAATGACGATCTGCCAGGAGTCGCCTAGCGGCTCCCGACCGCCCTGGAGAGAAACACTTTCTCCCGGAAGGTTTTCTCTGCTCCCGCAGAGTAAACCTTCCTCTACTCCTGTTTTTTTTTTTTTTTTTTTTCCTGACATCTGGGCCGCAGGCCGCCGTCAGTCAGGAAAAAAAAAAAAAAAACACCATAGGAATGCATAGCTAGATTCCTCTTGGCTATTTTACTTTGCAATAGCAAACTAGCTAATGCACCCGCCCTCTGCTGTTGCCAATCAGCAGAGGGGGACCTGAAGTTTTCCATCAGCCGCGCCATCCCTACATTTTACTGTTGGGGGTCACCACAACTTGGCAAATGTTACCAAGGGGTCCCGGCCCTAGAATGGTTGAGAACCACTGCTCTAGATAAACATTCCTCAGCATGGTGCTGAGACTGCTGTCATAGACAACGCTGACTTCCCATGAATGCCAATCATGGTGTTCACATGGGTTTGTTTACAAAAATGTCATGCTGGCTCAGCTGTCACTGTGCCTTGGGTTGTAAGATACACAGTGACAGCTAAGCCAGCATAACTGTTATATAAACAAACCCATGTGAGCACCATGGCTGAAGGAGACCGCCTGCAGCTGTTAAAGTGAGATACAGTCAGCTAAAAAATTTATGCTTAAAACTGTTAAGTGTAAAATACATTTTGCAGTTTATCCCAGAGGCTGGCTGTACACAACAGGATTTGATTGCATTATGCTGATGATGGCGGTGCAGTTATATGACAAGTTCTTCATTTATAGGGCATCTCCACAGAGGTTCCTGGATGACTGATGACAATATAGATCTCACAAATTAGAATACTTTTTCTGCGTCCTGTCTGTGCCTGTTGTAGCAGATTTAAATTTTAAGCACAATTACTTTTATTTTTCTTAATATAAACTCTTGGAAAACGGCCAAATTTACAAGTGCAATATATGTTTAATGTTTTAACCCTTTTAGTGCCACAGACATAACTACTGCATTGATGGCTGTAGCGGCATGCAAACAAACTCATGGCTGTAATAGCAGCTGTGAGTTGTACTTTTTATTTTTAGAGCAGACTGTGGACTACATTATAGTAGCTATCCAGTGGCTATACAGCTGCCGTTTGCTTCTATAATGCTTTTTTTTTTCTGTGCAGCAACCACCTCCTCTGTTCTCAGGTTTACCTGCTTCTCCCGGAAGCCCTGAAGTGAAAAAAGACTCATCAGGATGAGCACTTCTGGGTTAAGGGTGGTCAGTCCCCGGCTAGGAATGCTGGAAAAAGCAGCTGATCAAAGACACTGTTTCCTTTACCAGAGTTGCTTGAGTGCAGGGGAGGTATTAGGGATCCCCTGCCCTCCCAAATTGACAACAAATCAACGGGTGGGTGCAGCAAATCTAGTAGACATTGGTTAGAGGGTGGGCTTTAAAGAGACTGTGTCTTTTTTTATATACTGTTTTACGTGCCAAAAGATTGATAGTTTTTCACAGTCTTGTGAATCGCACACCTCTGCAGAGCTGAGCACTTCTGGGTTCACTCTTCAATGTGGGTGGTGAAAAGTGGAAAAAAGATATACAGGGTTATTCACTAAAGGGTGAAGAGTTTGGAGAAGGTATGAGAAGTGAACAATCTAGGACAACATAGCTGACTTGACAAAATTCTCAATTCATCTCACTTTCCAGTTCAGCTATGTTGTCCTAGATTTTCACTTCTCATACCTTCTCCAAACTCTTCACCCTTTAGTGAATAACCCCTATAGTTTCTTTATATTTTGTATTTAGCTGTTGGCCTGGAGTTTTTTAAACCGATTTGAAAAATGTGGAAAAGTTGGCCACCTTATCAGTCAGTACTTGGCAAAACTGGGATTACAGATTATATTTTCTTTGTTCAACCTGCGGGCTGAATGAAGATATTATAACAGATTCCGCCATCAATACTTATGAGCCTATATGGAGGAATCCCCTGCTGTTCTGCATTTTATTCTGACAGCAGCTTGGTTACAAGCTTCATTTGGCCGAGAATTTCCAGGTTGCTCCTTCAATCAGCTCATCCAGGGATGCCGGGCAGAAGGGTCCCGCTGTACAAATTTCGACCTATCTCGCGAAGAACCGGCCAAAATTTGCACAGTGTAAAGCCTACTTAAGACTTAGAAATTACAGCTTCAGAATGTTTCTTGTATCATGTCATTTCCTGTCTGGATTATTTTGCCCACCCCTGTTTACAAGCTATTTCTACTTCTGAATCATTCTTAGGTTATCCTGTAAGTAATCCATGTGAGGTCTTCCTACAGATAATATGTATTCAGTAATCGGAATTAAATGGTGATCATGTGGTAACAGTTTCTGCTCCAGAGTTTGTGTTAACTTAGTAAATGTACAACTTGTAATTTGTCCAGTGATGCCCAAACCTTTGTTTATGACATTTAATCCTTGGCAGCCCCACATTGAATTGCTCAATAAAAGTGAGTGAGTCATATTCCAGTGAACCCAGTGCACACGTTTAATCTCTCCAAATATAGTGTTATGAACCTACTTGTAGGCTTTCCAGGCCGCTAAAACTAGAATGACCTATCTTCCAGGAGGAGTCTGTGTGCACTGTTGGAGAGTAGAATGTTTGTATGGTACTCTCCTTTCCAATCTGTTGCTGGCAGGGCATGCTGGATCATCTAGTTCTAGAAAAGCTGTAAAGGCGCAGGTCTCCATATGGCCTAAATAAAGCAGGGCTTCTGAAAAGTTTTAGATATTTTTTTTTCTGTTTTTAAGGATAATGTGGAGTTGTTTTCTATCTTTTATTATGGTTGAGGGCATAAAAGAAAAAAACCTTGACAGCCCATTCACACCAGTTAACTAATACTGTACTGCTCTGGGTCATCTTCCCAGCATTGCTGAAAATGTAGCATGCATATTTTTGGTCTGGTACATTGAACAAACAATTTAAATGAATAGACTGCCCTAATGCAATGCATGTTAATTTGTGACTCAACACATGTGTAGTCCACACTCCACAATTGACCGGGATGGTTTAAACCTACCCTAAATGTTTTTTTTTCCTTCTGACAGACAAGGAATGCTGCAAATCAAACTGCTCTGCTTCCTCTTTAAATTACTTCTAGTGCATTGGGCACCCTTGTGTTACAAATAAATATATAATACAGAGCAGATTGTGTAGGCTGTGAAAAACAAATCTAAAACAAGATAAAAAATATATTTATACATAAAGTAACACTAAACTCAGGCGTTAAAGCTTAAAAATGCATTCAAGTACCTTAACTATTACCAAAGAGGTACTTTATTTGTGTATCACTCAGCTGTAGATCCTCAAATCATCTCTGAATTGGTGCTGACACTGTCCTTTCTTCTGGAGGGGGACTACTTTTGTTCCCCATGGTCCCTGAGTGTGTTGTAAAGTAGTCACCGCTCCAAGGTCGCTCCCATGATGGACTGCAAGCTCATGTTTAGTTTACTCCTTTGTATTTGTATACAGAGATGCATGCTTTTGTTTGTCCTCTCTTCCAGTTTCGCCAGCACTTGATCTTGACAGAAAAGGGTCTTGTGGATTGGAAACAAATGTTCTTCAGACTCAAAAAGTTCTATCCAAAAAGGGAACAATATGGAGATACACTGCACTTCTGTCGCCATTGCAGCATTCTATTTTGGAAGGTAAAAAATATTAGTCATTTTAACAAATGTGTTCTGCTTTGTAGGGTTGATTCTGACAAAGTACAGACAAAAATGGTGCATTGTACAGGGAACCTGAGCTCCGATCCAGAATACATCCGGGTAACCCCCTTCCTTGTTACAACAAGCATACTAGTGGATGTGGTTGGGGACTGAGTTTAGGTGAACCTAATAAAGTGACACTTTTTACTCTACTATGGAAAGAGTTTAGGGTTGGGCTCACTAGACTTGAGGCCCTTTTTACGCTAATGGTGTCTTAAGTTATTTTGGCTACACTGCAAATATATACTTTATCTGCATGTTTGTTGTTTTGAAGAGAGGTTTCAGGGGGTCTTAATGGATAACCTTGACTCTAAGAGACCATGTTTGAGCACCATACAGATATAATAAATGGGAATTATTATAGTTTATAAGAGTTACAACTATATTCACGTGACATCATTGTTTCACAAATAAACATTTATGATATGGCATGGGATTTCCAGAGTACTGTGGGTTAGCTAGAGACAGCACCGCAGACACTGCCTGCTCGGATGCTTTGTTTGTATGGTTGGAACTTCCAAGATGGAAAGTTTGAGAGAGAGGGGGGATTTGATTCCAAAAGGGGACTTGTCCCTCCAAATGAGGGGCAGTTGGGGGCTATGGTAAAACTGAATGGATGCTAATTTTTGTAAGTCACGCTGTATTTAGCAGCCAGTAAGAAGACTATAGTGGTGAAAGAAACTTCCTGTGTGTGCAGTGCTGTATTCTTCCTGATGTTCTGTGCTCTGCTTAGTGACCAGCAATGCACACAGGTGCCTCATGACGGGACTACATTTTGTTTAGTGTAGAATAGTATTGTGTGTCCCTCAGAGAAGTTCTCTCAATCAAGTGCCCATCCAATTGTAAAATTAAAGGGAGAAAACATCCAAATTCCATACAGATTTAGTCATATGGCGGGCGTTGAAACTAGGAGTCCTATACTATAATATAAACACGTGCACATACACACACACACACACACACACACACACACACACACACACAATGTAGGTTGAACCTGATGGACCCGTGTCTTCATTCAACCTCACTGACTATGTTATACTGCTGTATTGCAAATTACTTAGCCATCCTCCTGATGTTGACCGGTAATCTAATACAGCCTTCTAATTATACGATCGCATGATATATATGAACGTTCTTATGGTTTCTCTTCTGCTTGCCTTCTTTATTCATCTGTAAAGGACTGTCAGCTCGCTCTTATTTTTAAGGTATTTGTTGCATGCTTCTATCAGGATATCTCATGCAATGTGTGTGTTTTGTACATATTAATGCATTGCTCAGGCCTTCTGAATGAGTTTCGGATCAAAAAGTTCTATCCAAAAAGGGAACAATATGGAGATACACTGCACTTCTGTCGCCATTGCAGCATTCTATTTTGGAAGGTAAAAAATATTAGTCATTTTAACAAATGTGTTCTGCTTTGTAGGGTTGATTCTGACAAAGTACAGACAAAAATGGTGCATTGTACAGGGAACCTGAGCTCCGATCCAGAATACATCCGGGTAACCCCCTTCCTTGTTACAACAAGCATACTAGTGGATGTGGTTGGGGACTGAGTTTAGGTGAACCTAATAAAGTGACACTTTTTACTCTACTATGGAAAGAGTTTAGGGTTGGGCTCACTAGACTTGAGGCCCTTTTTACGCTAATGGTGTCTTAAGTTATTTTGGCTACACTGCAAATATATACTTTATCTGCATGTTTGTTGTTTTGAAGAGAGGTTTCAGGGGGTCTTAATGGATAACCTTGACTCTAAGAGACCATGTTTGAGCACCATACAGATATAATAAATGGGAATTATTATAGTTTATAAGAGTTACAACTATATTCACGTGACATCATTGTTTCACAAATAAACATTTATGATATGGCATGGGATTTCCAGAGTACTGTGGGTTAGCTAGAGACAGCACCGCAGACACTGCCTGCTCGGATGCTTTGTTTGTATGGTTGGAACTTCCAAGATGGAAAGTTTGAGAGAGAGGGGGGATTTGATTCCAAAAGGGGACTTGTCCCTCCAAATGAGGGGCAGTTGGGGGCTATGGTAAAACTGAATGGATGCTAATTTTTGTAAGTCACGCTGTATTTAGCAGCCAGTAAGAAGACTATAGTGGTGAAAGAAACTTCCTGTGTGTGCAGTGCTGTATTCTTCCTGATGTTCTGTGCTCTGCTTATTGACCAGCAATTCACACAGGTGCCTCATGACGGGACTACATTTTGTTTAGTGTAGAATAGTATTGTGTGTCCCTCAGAGAAGTTCTCTCAATCAAGTGCCCATCCAATTGTAAAATTAAAGGGAGAAAACATCCAAATTCCATACAGATTTAGTCATATGGCGGGCGTTGAAACTAGGAGTCCTATACTATAATATAAACACGTGCACATACACACACACACACACACACACACACACACACACACACACAATGTAGGTTGAACCTGATGGACCCGTGTCTTCATTCAACCTCACTGACTATGTTATACTGCTGTATTGCAAATTACTTAGCCATCCTCCTGATGTTGACCGGTAATCTAATACAGCCTTCTAATTATACGATCGCATGATATATATGAACGTTCTTATGGTTTCTCTTCTGCTTGCCTTCTTTATTCATCTGTAAAGGACTGTCAGCTCGCTCTTATTTTTAAGGTATTTGTTGCATGCTTCTATCAGGATATCTCATGCAATGTGTGTGTTTTGTACATATTAATGCATTGCTCAGGCCTTCTGAATGAGTTTCGGAAATGATAACTGTGAGGTGCTCATTCCAACTAGCTAGCTTTTCCTTCTCACTCTGTATATCTGATTTCCAAGATTAAAGGGAGAAGAATGATAATACAATGAGCGATATACCAGAACAAAAATGGAGCTGCTCACCCAGAACAACCAATCCCATTGCTGCTTTTCTCAGTGTAGTCTGATTACAGTAGCCAACAGCGCCATTTCTCCACTCCAGTTCTAAGTGTATGTAAAGGCAATACTTCTTAGAGTAGGCAATGGTTGAGACCCCTGTCTTTTTTAAGTTCTGTCTGTGTCTCATCAAGGAGAATTTATTTTCGCTTGCTGTCTAAGAGACACAGCAGTAAGTCGAAGGAAATCTCCAAAGCAAGGTGGTATCCCCACTTAGTTGCCAGAACAAGTTTTCCAATTGGAAATGTCTCCTCTCTTCCTGTTGACTATACCTTACTTTATGGACAGGACACAGTGGTGTCCTAAATGAATGGCAAGGTTAACAACAAAAATCCCTGACAGGAGTTCTAACCTTTCCATGTTTTTCAAATGTAAAAATAATTTAGAAAAATCTTTTTAATTGCACGATATTTTTGTTTAGTCACGAGACCCATTGCTTTGCTATTTTGTGCCTGCATTATAAAATGGCATTGTTTAACTTCCATACGCATGTTTGTGTTTTGCAGTTTGACATACAGATGGAATCTAATTTTCATGTGTTAACTAATTAGTCCGCCCAAATGCATGTTGCAGTGTTTTGTATACGCTGGAGAGCTAATATTGATTTTTCTCTTCGGGTTTCCTGTAATGAGACCTGCGTGCCTGAGTTCTCAGTTGTGTAGATTTCCCTCAGTAAGAGAGACGTCCCCTGTCCTTTGTTAGATTTTAAAAATCTATCTAAAAGATTGCAGCTAAAAAAATGAGATGACTCCATTGCCTCTAGAGTCTTCAGGTGATCTAAACAGATGGCAGATAAATCAGCCCACCAGACTCCACCCAGTATGGACATGTTTTTCAGTGCACTGACCTTTTAAATTCCTTTTATATGAAGTCTCTGCTTAAGATTTGATTTCAAAATGGACATGTGGACCCTGGGACCACCCAAACCCAATATACCTGGGAAGCTACTTTCTGCCTAACATAATGTTTACTCCCACAGCTCACTGAGGTGGAACTTCCCAAGGCAGAAATCTGACTTGTTGGCTATACCTTGGTATTCTTGGAATCCATCTCAAGAGTTGGGATGAGCAAATCTGCCCAGGTTCGGTTCTGGTTTTGTTAGTCTAGTCCTGCTTAAAGTACATAAACCCCCTAAGTTCGTGCCAAACCCCATTGAAGTCTATGGGAGACAAATCTTGTTTTTTTCTTTCTAGCATTTTCAAGCCTAATAGGTAAGCTATTGTGGAAAAAAGACATGAGGTGCTGGGTGCTGCCATGGGGGACATGTCCCAATGCAAAAAAAATACATTTTCTAAAAATACCATACAGCAGGAAGGTTAAAGGACAACATTGAAAACACACAAAACCTTTAAATAACATGTTTGGGGTACATAGTGGAAGAAAAAAAAAAACAGTGTTTTTTTTCCCATTGCTTTATTGAGGCTTGCAGCATGGAAAGGGAAGGAAGCCACTTCCACTTCCTGTACCAGACCTAGCCACATGTCTCTCAAAATTGGAGGGGGTGCTTTGTAATGAGAGGTGGTGAAGCCTTGCAAAGCATTCTTGTCCCAGTGTTGAGGGACAACATTGAGACAATGAGGTAAAATGGGGGGACTTCCAGTTAAATCTGGAAGCCCTCTTTATTAAAAAAATGGGGAGCCCAGACAAATGCTAGCTGCTAGGGGAATGAGTAAAGGGGTACATTAGTACCTCTCGCCTATTCTCACAAAGAGTTCAAACTAAATAAACACACACACACTTCAAATGTCCTTTAATTGAAATAAAATGGACATGTACAATAAAGATTTTAGCAATGATCCCCAATGTATATCCACTACTGGAAAGAAGTGAAATAAAAGTGCTGGACCTACAAGGTTTATCCTGTTTGTATAGCTGGCCATTTAGGATGTGAAAGAGTCTGTATAGGTGACCTGACTACTGGACAGGCAGCTTCTACATTCCAGTCCTCTGTCTCCTTAGCTTGTGGCATCAAATTGCGGGATTGTGGATTGAAGTGCCATAACCCATTTAATAGTTCAGTTACATCTTTATTCAATATAGTGTTAAGGGGACAGTGTAGAAATAGCCAATAGTTTCGAGGACTTATGCAAATACACCCTTCGTCAGAGCTTACTAAGGGACAATGTATATTGGGACTGTATTGTGTCGGAATGGGATACTGTTTTGTCCAGTGTGTGAGAATGCATGGAGCTCTTCAGCAACTGATTTGGCACTTCAGTTCACAATCCTGCAGTGTAAATCCAATGCAGTCACATTATCCAGCGATCTAATCCACATGATTTTATAATGTCCAGCGACGTAAATCCACGTCCATCATGAAGACCTGTTGCCTGACAATTTTTACACACCACTTTCCTGTTGCTAAATGACAGATCCCCAACTCTGCAGTAATGTAAGGGGATAGCCGGGAATCCCAGGTGATGTCATTGGCCAACTCTGGTCATGTCCAAATGTGGTAATTACCTTCATCTGCCATCCTTACCCTTTACTTTCTTTTTCCACTGCATGTGCTTTACCCCCAAACTTCTCTTTGGCACACTTTTCCTGCCCATTGTGACTGTATGCTAGGAGGTGGGTACATAAAGCAATGCCACCGAGGAGCCCTAGAAGCACCAAGAGAAGCTGTCTTTCTATAGAAATGCAGCTTTGGGTAATCTGCATCGCCATTCTGGCAACTACAGTGTGTCCTGGAAGGCATTGGCAGCTTAATGATTCTACTCCTTGCCTAGAGTAATTCTTTCATCACAAATTTCTCACTTTTTATTTTATGCTATATTACCTTTCTCAGTCAGTGTTGTATGGAACCCTACCGTTCGTTCACAGGTTGCATGAAGGAGGGGGTGTCCTTTAGCAGTGGCAGAATAATGCACATCATTTTTAGATGCATTTTTAGAGGGACTTCTTTTCACTGACCACCAATGTAGGTGGGAGGGCCTTCTCTCCCACAGACCACTACTGAATGGGCACATATCACCCTCCACCCATAAAAAGGGACACTTCACCAATGACCACCCATAAAAGGAGGCACTGACCACCAATGATGGTATGAGGACCTTTCTTCCACTTACCACCAATGTAAGAGGTCCTGGTTTCTAGTGTCCACCAATAAAAGGATACTCCTCACCACAGACCCTCAATGAAAGCGCACTTCCCCACTGACTTCCAACGAAGGGGGTGACTTCACCACTAAATGCCAATGAAAGGGGGCACTTCTCCAATTTAAAGGGGACATTTCGCCACTGACCAGCAGTGGAAGGGCACTGCCGTTATCACTGTCTGCATACGTTTTCCACCCATTTATTCCTTTTATAGTCTTTAACAAAATCCTTTTGTTGCAGGGGCTCCCGGAAACCTGGAAATTATTTCAGGGGGCCCTCCAGATATAAGGTTGAGAAAGGCTGACCTAGAATGTATATTTTTATTTGTGGGGGATTATGCTCTAAGGAAATGAAAGCTGATTTTATGTTGTAATGGCTTTCTCTCTCTTGTCAGGACTCTGGACACCCCTGCACTGCTAACGATCCCCGCAGCTGTTTTACGCCGGTCTCTCCTCAGCACTTTATCGACCTTTTCCAGTTCTGAATGGAGTCCGTTGTTCTGTTCTGTAGTTTGTGTATGAATGATGTAGGGTATTTTTAAAGGACTCATGTGCAGGTAGTTTAAGTGTTTATGGAAACTGTATCTCTGCTGGACCATGGTACAGGTGAGAAGACCAAGTGTGTTTTATCTGATTTCTTACTATTTTTAGTTTCTTGTATCCCCTTATTCTTTACACGAAAACATCTGAATATAATGGATAGTTTTGTACTGTAAATATATGGTACTACAGACTTTGACTTACAGAATAATATTGCACACCTTGCTTTTACTTATGTGCACTTTTTATTATTATATCTTGGCATGCAGGGCAAATATATTTATCAGGGGGCTCATGAGCTGCTCCAGGTTCCTCTAGGTGAAGCACTTTGAGCAGTATACCCAAAGCTGATACTTCAGTTTTTTGGGATGTGGGCAGGTAAAATCGTCTACTGGTGACTTATATCTGAAGCTTTACAATGGCATATGCAAGTTCCCAGCATCTGCCACCTAGCACAACCATTATAAAGGAGCGGCCTTTCCCTGCAGGAGAGGAGGGAAGAGCCTATAGGGTCAGTTCACTAAACTTCATGATTTAGTTTAACTATGTTTTGTGATTTTTATCATATGATTTTTCTGATTTTAAAACATTCAAGCCAGCTTTACACCTGCGTGTTTAACTTGTGTTCATCTGAATGGGAGGTCAACTTGTGTTAACCTGAATTTGAGGCCAAGACAACAGGAACCGCACATCACCCTGTTATGCAGCAGCACAATGCACGTTAATGCAGTACCACTTGAAAGGCACTGCAGTGTACTAGCGTGCATATGGTACGGTGCTTCGTGTTGTAGCATTGTGGGTGTTACTATAACTCTAAGGTTTAAAGCTGGCCTCAGTCTGCATATATAGATCTCACGTAGGTGCACAATCAATTTTTTTGTGGGGGATTTTATTGAACCTTGGAAAGCCTATATGTCTGCAACCATGGGCATGTATCCATACATGTATGGATATATAAGTTCAGGGTAGCATTTACCAGCGTGCAGCTGCATCCGGTCATTGAGTTGTACAGGCGGCTGCACGTTCCAGCTAGCACTTCCGGGTCCGGGTGTAGGTTTCTTCATGGATCTGCACGATGTAATAATAATAATTAGGGATGCACAGATACCGAATTTTTATTTTATTTTTGGCACCGATATGGGGGGGGGTTTTTTTGGTACTCGCCGATACCGAATACTGATCCCGGAAGTGCCATTAAGGAAACCAGGTGGTGTGTAATGACTCGCCGCCCGGCTTCCCGATCAGCCGGGAAGCCGTCTCCATGCTCCCTCGTCACCAGGTGACGAAGCATGGAGCCAGCTTTCTGGCCAATCAGGAAGCCAGAGGGAGGGTAATTACTCACCATCCAGCTTCCTGATTGGCCGGGAAGCCGGATCTATGTTCCCTCACCACCAAGTGATGAGGGAGCATGGGACCAGCATCCTGGCCATTTAGGGGTCTAGTCATTACACGATCCCCGAATTTCTGATTGGCCAAGTGGCAAGTAATGACTCGCCACCCGGCTTCCTGACACCAGAAGTTCCAGTATCGGGATAGGCATCGGGAGCATTTGGCGCATTACTAGCCCAAATACTCGGTATTGGCACCGAAACTAGTATCGGTTCATCCTTTATAATAATGAGGCCTAATGGACATCTCGTAGAACCGCACATTTTCTCTAGTCAGAAGGTTGTGGCATTTTATTTGCCACCCAAATTAAAAATTAAAAAAGAAAGGTCATTCATTTTGTATTTTTTTACAAATGAATTCCAAAGCTCTGTAATCGCTTTTAGTTTCACATACTGAATGTCTGTGGGCATTGGGTGCAGCCGTCGCTGTGAGTTAGAGCACCTCCAATTTTTCTATACAGGCCATGAATTGTGCTCTCCTAAGGCTTTCCTCTAGATTAGGGTCTGTATCAGGAGTAGGCAACCTTGGAATACCAGCTGTTGTGGAACTGCACGTCCCATGATGCATGGCAAGAGTCTGACAGAGCCACAGACATTACTCCCACAGTCATGATGGGTTTTTCAGTTTCCCTGCAACTGTAGTCCCGAGGTTGCCTACCCCTGGTCTGTATTATCATTCTTCAGGCATGAAGCCTGACAGGAATCACTTCTTTAAAGTGCAGGTAGAGCCGACCCTGTTTTTTGGGGGTGCTTTCTAGTTTACGTTAGAGTAGGAAAGGTTAAAACTCCTTTCAGTTTGTTTTGTAAGTTTTTAAGTCTTTTTTTTTTCTCAGTTGTCCTAGAACAGGTTTCCCCTTGGAAGATTTCCCCCTCTGACACAGGAAGTCACAAGTGGAAAAAATTCCCTTTTCAGTCAGTTGTCCCAGAACAGGTTTCCCCTTGGAAGATTTCCCCCTCTGACACAGGAAGTCACAAGTGAAAACATTTCCTTTTCAGTCAGTTGTCCCGGAACAGGTTTCCCCTTTGAAGATTTCCCCCTCACGTTTTGTCCTGAGGATAGCTCTGAAATGTTACATTTCCCCCTTGTTTTCTGTTTTGGTGACAATGGCCACTAGTACAAGGAGAGGGCTGAATCTCCCCAATGCAGCAATACAAATTTGGCAGAGAGTCTAACCCTGCCACACTATGCCACACACTGCTTTGATTTCTGCCAAAACCTACTGACTTGACCAAAATTCTTGCAGTGCGTAGCCCTATGGGCACCCCTCCGTACAACAAATGTCAATTTTTCAGCCTTCGTTGAAGGAGCTAGTCTCAGAAATCTCATCCAGTGACTGCAGCCGGTATATGTGGAATTTCTTTTCCCTTGGAGGCCGCAGTGATTTTTGTGTAGGTTGGGCATCTACTCCCAGGACTAAGGTGCTGGCCCATAGATGACCCAGTGCCTTTCTCAGTGGCCTTTTTATTCTTGGCTATGTATACATGTCTCATACAGCTCAGTCCTATACTGCTCACTCTCAACCTGGGGCCAGCCATTGTTAAAATGCATCCCACCCACCCGCACAGCTCGGCCTTCCAGCTGCCTCCCACCCAGTGACTGGCCGAGGTAAAAATCTATCACAGCCTCCTACAGGTGAGACCCCGGCTGGCCCATAACTTCTGATATGCCATAACACTACACTGGTCACCGAAGGAGGGGAGAATAATAAAATAAGAATAAGTTTTTTTTTTTTTTAATCTTGTTAGCAGGCTGCTGTCATTATTAAAGGGACACTAAACTCAGGAGTGAGGAGCTGTGGCTACTTTACAACACACACAGGGACCATGGGAAACAAAAGTAGCCCCCCTCCAGAAGGGAGGACAGTGTCAGCACCAATTCAGAGATGATTTGAGGATCTACAGCCGAGTGATACACAAATAAGATACAATTTTGTTAATAGTTAAAGTACTTGAATGTATTTTTAAGATTTAATGCCTGAGTTTAGTGTCACTTTTTAATAATTTGTTTTTTCTGCATGTTGTGTCATGTCAAGTATTCATGTACACTTGTAAAATGAATAGAATTGTCCAGGTGTACATAAATTCACTCCTTCTATCTTTTAAGTATCTTTATTTTATCTGAGGATGACTCTGATAAGTTCTTTACTATACATCATAAAGGATCTTGTGTACAAATACACATTTGTCTAAAAAGATCTATTTGCACATCTCAAGGTTTTTTGTTTTTTAGCTCAAAAAACTTTATAAAACATTTTGCACGTAAGGAAGAACTCTGCTAATCTATGTTTATGTCTGAAAATGCTGCATGTGAAATGTGAGTGAAGGAAAACTAAGCCTTCAGGAAAAGAGCCGCTTGGATTTCTGATTTAAACAAAAAATGGGCTTGTGTTCCATGAATACCAAATCCTAGATGGTTTTGCTCGGGGTTTAGATATATTGTAAGCATTTAAATTGCATGTGGCCCGACAATCTGTTCTGTAGGCCTAAGGCTGTACTTCCTCACATTGTTATCCAGCTGAGTACTCCAGAAAATGTTGCCGCTTTATTAAAGTTATACGTTAGGAAATATAAAATATGTTTTACTCTTGAGGCACTTTTTTTTTTTAAATAAATATTAATGTATTTTAATGGTATCTATCTACCAGTAGCTGCCTCATTTCCCACCCTCGGCTTATATTCGGGTCAATACTTTTTCCCAGTTTTTTTGGCTAAAATTAGGTACCTCGGCTTATATTCGGGACGGCTTATACTCGAGTATATACGGTATAGTTTTTGGTTAATATGTTAATTACCTAAAAAAAAAAAGATGGTTAGATTTATGATCTGCAAGAAGTAGCAATGAATTAATGACTAACCCTAAATGTACCCACTGTGAGCCATGGTGGTGCAGTGTTTTGTAGCAGCCAAAAGAGGGCACAGTTTCACAGCCCATGGTTTCAGCATGTGTGAAATGTTCGGCAATTCATTGTTCCAGAGTTTGTGGATCAGCACAGACTGCAGCCAGGGACAGATATGATATGTGGCATTTCCCAAATATGTTTGGTCACCTATGCAGTGGCAGGTTGTAAGAATGAGCCTTTTATACATCAGCCCCAGTGAACTTATTGAAGCCTAAATGCTTATTGTTGTTTGTTGACCAAAAATGAGTATTGCAGACTACAAAGGGGGGCTTCCCTGGCATATCAACTCCTAAACACGGCTCTCATCACTGCCATCTAGTGGCAAGCTTGGGAGCAAGTCTTACATTGTACTGTAGAGAACCAAGAGAACCAATATGGTTTTTGTATTCATCATTTAAAAGGCATTGCCACTTTTTTTTTTCTTGGGTATTACTAGGCTACTATTCTACTTCTCTTTTTTCAAAAATACTTTTTCCGAAAAGATGCTAATTTTCACAGTAAAGACGTAAAAATGTGATTTGAATTCAAAGTTGTGCTGTTGCATTATTTGAAGAAGTGGTAATATGTAATGTAGGAAAGTACATGGTAAAAGTGGTTGCAAAGAACTGCTTGTAAAATGTTTAATATGTGTATTTAAGAATGTGAACCATTCATTCTGTATGATTTTTGTCTATTGAAGGATAGACAATAAATAAAGTTTCCTAATTTTAAATCTGTTTATTATTATTATTATTATACAGGGTTTATATAGCGCCAACAGTTTGCACAGCTTAAAGAGGACATTACAATCACAATACAATACAATTCAAGACAAGATGGTAAGGAGGGCCCTGCCCCTGAGGGCTTACAATGTAAAAGGGAGGGGGAAGTGATACATGAGGAGGTATCTGTGTAGCAATGAGTTTGCAAAAGTGATAGTTCAGTGGTTAGGTTGAGGTGGGATAGGCTTCCCTGAAGAGATGAGGCAGACAGAGTAGGAGATAGACAGACAGGTTGGGGTAAAGAGTTCC